TGGGCGCTCATTTGCAAGATTGGCAGCGTTGTACAGAATTGTATGAAATTCACTGAAAGTCAGTGCAAATTCTTGTCCAAGACTCTGGAAAGCTTTTTTCACAATGCCAACAGCAGCTTCAGCAGCTCCATTTCTGTGAGGTGAGTCTGCRGGAAGGATTTTCCACACCCACTCAGTCCTGTTCTTTGCTGTTGCTTCTTCCAAATCTGAGATGTTTTGGGTGCTTAGGTACAGTTCCTCCAAAACTGGTTTGGCTCCAACAAAATTGGTCCCTGCATCAGACCAAATCTTTTGTGGGTGACCTCGGATCGCAGTAAATCTCTGATAAGCCATCAGAAAACTTTCAGTGGAAAGTGAGTTTGCCAATTCAGTGTGAATAGCTCTGCTGGCCATACAACAAAAGACGACTCCCCAGACCTTAATCGTCACCCTTYTTTTGACGTCATCTCTGACATGATAAGGCCCTAAGAGATGGACTGACGTGAATTTAAAAGGAGGAGCAGGCTCAGCTCTCTCAGGTGGCAAGTCACCCATCACCTGCTGACACCTCAGAGCTCGAGCTTTCCTGCAGATCACACAGCTGTTAACAACCTTTTGGGCTATCCTYCTTCCTTTTACAACCCAGGCTTTTTTTCTCATCCTCAGTAGGGTTCCAGCGATTCCATCATGTGCAGCATTGTGAGATTCTCGGCCCAACAATGTTGATACCCAGGCATCGTGGGTATGATGGGAACTGCAACTTTATCTTCTCTGAAKATCTGTACCCTGCCACCACAGACTAATAATCCAGACTCCTTGTCTCGATAAACCACCAATCTATCTGTGGTCGTGTTGGGAAAGTTGGCACCCATCTGAGCAGTAAGGAAGATGTCCTTGAGAACATCTTCTCTTTCTCTTACAGAGATTACTCCTGTTGAGCAGACTGCCTCCCACTTTGGYTTACTTACAGCTTGATTTTTYCTGATGAATCTTTTTGCYGCTCTCCAAACCCAGGCAATCGTCTTGACCAGCCGTGTTAAACTGCTAAAGCAGTTAACATCTTCGTGGTTTTGTATGGGTATTGATGGTCGCTGCTTCTTTGCCAGGACCTCCACCTGATCTTGAGGCAACTCTTGTTTGAGCTCCTACTCCTTTATCCCGGCCCTTGTTGTTACAGCAATGAATGTCTTCTTTTCCAACTTGGTGATGCTTTCTTTTTCATTGATGACAAGTTGTTTGGATGCTTTAATTGGCCACTTTTCAATTGGAAATTTTAGAAATGCTGGGCCATGTTGCTGAGGGCTGGCTCCTCAAGTAATGATGTCGGCAATGTTTTGATCCCCAGGAATCCACCACCAATCTTGGATTCTTGTGTTGCTCTGAATCTCTCCAATTCTATTTGCAAAGAATGTTTGAAACCCATAGCTCTCTCTTTGAATTGCTTCAAGAACTGTTTGACTATCAATGAGRTGATACCATCTCTCAATTTTGATTTGGCTGTGCATCTCAAAGTACTTCTTTACTCGTGATGCGAACACTGTTCCACATATCTCTGCTTTATCAGCCTCACCTTTTTGATCCAATGGAGTTAGCTTAGCCTTGGATTCCACCAGCCTGATGATTGGGTCTTGAACTGAACCCCACCTCAGATACAACACTGCTCCATAAGCATTCTCACTTCCATCTGAAAATGTAATTGCTAAACAGTTACTGCTGTTCTGAAAAGGAGTTAATGCCCTRTCAAACTGGATCTTACAAAGCTGAGTGTACTCTTCAAAGAGCTTTATTGCGTCTTCTCTAAGATCTTTTGAGAGTGCTAAATCCCAGGTGTCTTTTACTTGGTTACTCACATTCTTTGCCTCTTGGAAAGCTTTCCGCACCAAGATTGCACCTTTCTGTTTTGCAGGAGTTACTAAGCCAACTGGATCATACAGACCAGACACCTGACTGAGGAGCTCTCGCCTTGTCAAAGGGTTTGGTGTTTGACTTCTGATTTGGTCCAACTGGAGGTCTTGCCCAAATCACATCTTTTTTTCTCCTTTTTGAAAAATTTATACTGACCATAACATGGAGTTTATCCTCCTCTACAATATACCCCAGACCGAGTGCTTTATTGTCCTCATCCCGCACTTGGTTTGGCAGAACCATGATCTTTGGTTTCACTTCATCTTGCTTGTTGTAATCTTTCCTCCCACTTTGCCCAGAAAACACCCAAGGTTTTAGTTTGAAACCTCCAGCTTTGAGAATGCTCTCCACATTTTCTTTGATTTCCTTTAACCTGTCTGGGTCATTGTGGGACGTCCGGATGTCGTCAACATAGCTGTTATTCAGAAGSACTTGCCTCTCCTCTTCAAGATGAATAAATGGGGTAAACTTGCAGTTTCTCGCATTGCCAGCTGTGCAATGCCAACCCATTCTCACTCCCATGTCGTCACATATTGACGCTTTTCCAAGGTTCCCTCTACGTCGGATTTTGACGCGCCGGGTACCCCCCGTCACGTCATTTACTGACGAGATGGGGCGAAATCTGTTGTCATATTTTCAGAAAGTGTAGAAAATGCGCAAAAA